AAGAGGGTCTTTTCACTTTTATTAGATCAGCCAGTGATCTTTGATCTGTACATACATTATTTCCAATTAAAATTTGACATGTTAAATGATAATATCTTAAAACGTGTACATGCTGAAGCGCTACGTGTCCCGTTAGACTAAAGTAGTCTCCTAACTTACTTTACACATTCGTTTTGGGCCAGGGGGACTGCTGTATTAGCTGCTGGCTTGTGGGAAGACTGGGGAAACTCAGTAGCTTCTGTGAACCTTGAATCGTCATAACAGAACATGAACCCTGATTTTTTTCAGTGCATCACAGGGGTTCTGTCCTGATGCAGCTGCCACTGTTGTCCTGCTCCAGAAAAATGCTGAAGCACGTGGTTTAATTTGGTTGTTTTGCTGGATCTTGAGGATAGCTCAGTATCCTGTGAGACTAAATCCCAGAATGAAAATCTGTGTAGTTGGGAAGGAAATCAGCTCTCCAATGTTTTTTCTCCCCAAACAGGTATTGCCTTTTACCCAGGCAAGGCTCGGCTGCTGAGCTGCAAGCATCATTACTATGATCATATTCCGCCTCTGATAAATCCAGGTCAGCCAGGAGACATTGAATGCACCACTCAGAGAATCAACTACACAGATCCTTTTACTAATCAAACTATGGTAATAATAATATAACAGGACAAAGCTTATTCAGTGGGGGTTTTCTGCTCGTAATGGTATTTGAAAGTAAAAATACTTACTTCGTGCTGCAAAAAAATGCTTGCTTCTAGTTTTTTTCAAGCCATCTGCCCTTTTGTTTTCAGAAACGTAAAAGACCCCATTCAGTGTGTGTACGTGTTACAGATGATGAGCTGTCATGTGGGTATGTGCAGCATGAAGACCTGAATGGGACAGAATAAGTAATTTTTCACAACGAAACTCTTGCTTCATTCCTGTCCTAAATGAACTGGCAAGCTTGCCTCTTGATATAGTAAATCTAGCTTTGATTGAAAGCAGTAGCAGTTATTTCATTAAAGCAGGATAGCTTATCTCTTTTTGTATGTTTGCTGGGAATGACATACTATTTTTGTCACACTGGGAAAAATCTTAACTGGGCACCAGGCATTTCATTACACTGAAATGCTGTGAGCCAATAAGATGGGTACATTGAGTCATTGTCTTAAATTGCCCTTAAAAATGCAGGGAATCTAGCTTCTGTAAAAATAAATGTTCAAAAAAGAAAGTATTAAATATGGTCATTTGTATCGAAAGTGATTGCTGAGATTGTTTTTAAGGAAACTAAACGTGAGCAAACAAACAATCTCGGTACCTGTTTGGTCAACTTTTTCCTCTTCGTGTTTTGCCTTTTGTCTAGTCACCATTTCTTTCTGGGAAGCAGCTCCTTAGTGTATTTGAAACTTATATTCTAGGTGCAAGTCTAATTTAATTTCTGCCACTAGTATTCTCTTTTTGCATATTTTAACAAACTAAGAACCTGCATTTTATGCTGCGTGGTAGATTCATTTTGAAGCTTGCTGATCCAATAGGCTCTAGTCCTGCAGTGGAATGGAGAGGCACTGAGGCAGAGACCACTGAACCATTGGCTGAGTCCTTTTGCAAGCAGCAGCTTGCTGTTCGATACAATGCCTGCACTTTAAATTGTATTCTGCCTGCTAGCATTTTTTGTTGTGGGTTTTTTGTTTGTTTTTTGTTTTTTTTTTCTTGTTGACAGCTTACTTGAGGTGCTGGCGGCTGTTTCTCAGGGAGAAACCTGATGTTCTCTACATCAGGCTCCACGTTAACGTGTTTTGTGTCAAGAGCTGAAAGTTTCTAGACTTTAATGCTCAAAACAGTTTTGATTGTCTCTCTGCAGAATGGAGCTTGCAGGGCATTGACTGGTAATTCCACATGAACCCAAAGGACTATGATAGAACTGAAACAGATTTCTTAGAAAAACGCTAAATCTTGATGTAAAGACTTAATTTTTAAACTAAAAGGAGGGATTCAGTTGGCATTCTTGTTAGGTATTTTAATAGACATATGCTTAGTAGCAGCCAAGAAAATCTCGGTGTGTATTAGATTTCTATAGAGTATTAGTGACAGATGGCAAATTCATGAACAGGAAATGAGGATTCCTTTGCTACTCTTTCCATCTCTCTGTTTGCTTACAGAAGTATGCTTTGGTTGTTCAAGGCCCTCGTGACGTGAAGAAAAAGGAACTGGTGTTTTTGCAGTTTCATTTAAATGGAACAGACCAAGATTTTAGTGCCATTGACTACCTTCTGTTTTCTTCTTTCCAAGAGTTCATCAATAGGTATGTAAAAGGATGAGCCTGTAAGTGCATTGAACTTGCTACAGCATACTAGTGAAAGCAGGGCTTTTTTAGTAGAAAAATAAGACAGACTTTTATTTATTTATTTATTTTAATGTTTGGGTTACGTCGATGCTCTTTCATGTCTTAGGTTACTAGTCTTACGTTTTAGAAAATGAATTGAGGACTTTTCAGTGACAAAAAACTGCCCTTCAGGTATGCTTCAGCCATTTGTTGCTGCACTTTCTAAAAGTTTGAAGTTTGTGCTGGCTTACTGTTGTCTGCTGCTGTGGGTGATCAGGAAGTGTGCTGTTCTGAGCAGTATGCTCAGGAAGTGCACTGAGCGCACTAATGTTTTTGCACTTTTTTTTTTTTTTAAGAGCAGTTACTGTAAAGATCAGATCCCTAGATTGATTTGTTGTGATTTCGTTGAAATATTAACTATATTTCTTTGTATTACTAGCTTTATGTAAGTTTCTACAGGTAGATGTAATTTCACGGGTGGGGTTTTCAAAATCGCTTCATATTGGTTTGATATTGGTGCCACTGGAGTGACTGATCAACCTTCTGATTTTAACAGGAGTGGAATTAATCCTGTCTTGAACTTTCTTTCACACTTTTTCCCACCTTGTGAGAATAAATTTCATACTTAACTGTTTAATTTTTGCTTTAATTTAAATTCAAGTTCTGTTCTTCTCTCTGTGATCCAGATTAAAAGCTAGAGAAGAGAGGTTACTCACAATGAGACCTAATAGAATGCCTTAATTTGGTAATAGTGAGATGCTCAGTGAAAAAGGGACAGGGGACAAAGGCCATATGCAGAACAAAATCAGGTGAGGGAGGGGAAGGGAAGTAACAGATTTTATCATAACAAAGCATTCTTGGAGGCTTGGACGTGATAATACTGGTGCTCTTCAGGTGGAGTAAAGACTGCATGTGTTCAGTCACAGTATCTCTGGGTGGCCAAAGACCAATTATATGAATCTGCTTTTTACAAAGCATTTCTACTTCAGTGAAGGAGAGATCTTAAGTCATTAAGTACTTTCTGTAACTGTACTAAAACACCTTATAAAATGCTAATGTTCCAGGTATTTTAAACATTGATATTTTAGGGTGAGAAAATACCAGTTAAGAGTAGTGATGTAGGAGGTGCTACTTGTTCCTTCTGTGTTGTTTTTTCTGGTTTTGTGGCTTGTACTACAGTTAAGCGGTATGTATAGTGGGAGCGATTCCAGCAAGGTGCACAGCTGTTTCTATAGTGTAAGACACAAGCACTGTCTGAGACCACCCCTTGTGAAACACAGAGCAGAAGGCATGGTTGTGTTGCGTCTGGTTCCTGGCTCTGCTTACCAAGATGCAACTTGGTCTATGCATACTCAAGTCTTGGAAGGCACACTTCTGTGCTCATTGTATCAATTTGCAAATAAGCCATTTTAAAGAGCTGTTTCTTCCCCAAGTTAAAACATGTATGTTCTACTTAAGTTGGCAGTATTTCTGCAAGCAAGCTGCAAGTCTGCATGCTGCTGTCCCAGATGCTTGTGCCACATGTTGTGCAGAGGCAGGCTACATGTACAAACCAGCAGTAAGAAGTATTGTAAAGGTCCTAGCTTCAAGGCTGTGTTTGTGCCAGTGTAGCTGAATCGGTAAGAATCATCTGTAAGCTGCCTGGGAGAAACCAGGATCGCAGCCTCCTGCCTCCAGGTTTGCTAGGTCAAACTGGTTAGATGGCAGAATTGATACCCAAAGAGATGGGGAAGTGTCGCTTTGTTCTTAGAGAAGCTGCCCTGTCTTCCTGTTGGAAGGCACCAGAACTGAAGCTGGGAAAGTGAAGGCTGAGCCGGGGTGACGTTTGGAGCAAAGTGAAAAGGTAGGAAATGGTGGTGTCTGTTTGGGGATGCATCCTTTCTGCCCATTT